AAACAGAATCGTGCATGGACATGTGACTTGCCCATGTGACTTCAAAAACTCCATCTTGTCACCTGTGATTTTTACTAGCTGTGCTGAGGGCTTTGTTTGAAACGAGTTTCCTGCCACATTGTAGAAGCTAAAAGGCCCTGGAAACATCTAATGGGAACATTCTAACCAATGGACTAAGGACCTTCCAATGATTTTGAAGCACCCAGAGACTTGATTTAAGCCAGCAGTCTATTCCATCACTGCTACAAGCCTGAACCAAGAACTATGCAATTGTTGTATGTGATTCCTTTAACCGATTTTAACTCTCACTTTTTTACTTTCTTTTTGTAAATAAACCTTTAGATTTTAGATACTAAAGGATTGGCATCAGCGTGATTTTGGGGTAAGATCTGAGTTGTATATTGACCTGGGTATGTGGCTGCGCCTTTGGGATCAGAAGAATCTTTTAGGTGTCACCAGACTCCTTGTTGTTTTTGTGGATACAGACTAACACGGCTACCTCCTGATACTTTTACTTAATGAAATTGGTTTTAAAGAACCACTCATCTCTAAGTTGAGTGTTTTTGGTGGTGATACAAGGACTGGAACGACTAAGGAAACTGCTGTTCTGACTTCATGTTAGCCAGTGGGGTGAAACAGAAGTTTGCTTTTGTTGCTGGTTTGGTATATCTCATGGGAGAATAACCTCCAGTTTTGGGGTGTGGCTGCCCAAAAGGATTAAAATTCAAAACGATCTGGACAAACGGGAGAAATGGTCTGAAGTCAATAGGATGAAATTCAATAAGGACAAATGCAAAGTGCTCCACTTGGGAAGGACCAATCAGTTGCACACATGGGAAATGACGGCCTAGGACGGAGTACTACGGAAAGGGATCTGGGGGTCCTAGTGGGTCACAAGCTAAATATGAGTCAACAGTGTAACGCTGTTGCAAAAAAAGCAAACATGATTCTGGGGTGTATTAGCAGGAGTGTTGTAAGCAAGACGCGAGAAGTAATTCTTCCGCTCTACTCCGCGGTGTCAGGGGCATTTCTCAGGGCTGTGATACAGGCACGGGAGCGCAGGAACCCAAAGACATCAGCCAAGGGGCACCACTGGCTGCAGACTGGGATCCCGCTATGCACAACAACGCTCCATGTTACACCTCGAAGGGGTGGAGGAAACTAGGCTCAGGTGGTTCACGTGTTCACAGAGAACAAACATGTCAGTCTCTCTCTACCAGAGCGGCAGCACAGCCTGTGAGAAGGAGCAGTGGCCTAGGCCTCAGGGGGCCTGGGTTTGATTCACTGACCTGCTGTGTAACCTTTGGTAAGTCACTTCCCTGCCCCATGCCTCAGTTTCCCCCCTCAGACATTTTGTCTATTTAGATGGTAATTTCTTAGGGGCAGGGACTGATTCATTCTGTGTCTGGGCAGCACCCAGCCCGACGGGGCTCCGATTTCAGTGACTGTCTGGGCCACGCCCAGTAAAACATAGACAAATGAAAGAAATGGCTGAATTGTCCCCAGGACCTGCCAGGAACTTGTAACCGAGAGAGCAAACCTGGTTGAGGGGTTTGAAAGTCCGACCCCTACCAGAGCCTGAGGTCGGAGCTGGAGCTGATCTCTGTTTAGCTGTCAGTGGGCGTGACTTGGGCAGTTTCTTATTTTCCATGTTTTCTCTGTGCTGCTAGGACTAAATGTGCTTTGCGGCAGTTGGTTGGTGCCTGGTGTCCATTGTCGCAGCCCCGGAGAAAAGGAAAGCTCAGGTGCTTAGGGTGACCAGATAGCAAGTGTGCAAAATCGGGACAGGGAGCGGGGGGTAATAGGCACCTATATAAGACAAAGGCAAAGCCCTGAATATCGGGACTGTCCCTATAAAATCAGGACATCTGGTCACCCTACGGGTGCTGGACCACGCTCAGATGTGCTGGGAAACTCACAGTGATGTTCAAACCCAAACCCAAACCCCAGGCTGGAGGGAGACAGACGCAGGCCTCCACCTGTGAGAGGGGGCGGCTGGGAAGCTGGAAACCTGACATCCGGGTCCTCCAGAGGCCAAGGGGAAATCCACGGTGCGGTTACCCTGAAATTGTGACCCACGGCACTTACCTGTTACAATCAGACGGATGAAAACCAGACACTTGTTTTTGTTCATCTCAGATTCGATCTTATACACCCCTGCAATGGCTTTGCTGGCGTTCGTCACGGTGAGCCATCTGTTGGACATGGATATGTGCCTGGCGAAGGAGCTGTTGAGTGGGTTTGATTTCCCTGGACGGATGACGGCTATCGGCACCCATGTCCCAGCCAAGGCATCGTACCAGGAGAGCTGGGCAAAGCGCTCCGTGAGGTTAAGGGGCTGTTGCGCGCCACCACCCTCGGGCACAGACAGAGGGATGTCCTGTTGACATTGGCTGGGGCCTGTGAGAAGAAATCAACATTTCAGGCCGGCTTTGGTGAAGCCTGGAAGAAGTCAGACCCAGATCTGGCGGGGGAGGGAGGGATACGTTATGGGGAGCGCTTCAGCTATAAGGCGTAGACCCTGCAAATGCTGAAGCGGGCGTAGCATCACCCTCAGCTCGCTGCTCGAGGGAGCGTCTACATGGCAATACGAGCCCTGCCACGCCGAATCGCAGGGTGGGTCTACACAGCAACCGGACACCCCCGGGTGCCCCATGCCAGCCGACTCCAACTCGTGGGGCTCGTGCTGTGGGGCTGTAAAATGGCTGGGTAGATTTGCACTCCCACAAATGGGGAGGGTCTCAGAGCCCAGGCACCAGCCTGAGCCCCCAACGTTTACACGTCTGTCTTTAGCGCCCCCTCCTCCCCCCGCAAGCCCGAGTCAGCTGAGCCGGCCTCGGTGCTGCGGGGGAGGGGAGAGGGGCTTGGTAGTGTAGACACCCCTGAGTGTGTGCGGAATCAGAGCCAAAAATCACTAAACTGAACCAAGATCCCGGGCAGGATCTGTGCAGTGCCCGGCACAATGAGGGCCTGGGTCTCCACACACACATCCCACATGCACTGTGTTCCACACACCCCTCTTCCCTCTCCAAATGGCCTCCCGGTGCATCCCCCCCCCCCATTTCCCTTCTGGCCTCTCACTTTCGGGGAACCCAGCCTGGCACAGAGCTCCCCGGGCGGCACTTACGGGTGTCCGGTACGGCTTGCCCAGCGCACCCGAGTAAGACGACGACTTTAAAGGCGATGCTTGCAAAGGCAAAGAGATGGGTTTGGTTTTTACCCCTCGTGGCACTGTATCCCGCCATGATGAATTCTGAGTCTCGCGCCCACATGGTCATTCGGGCACCCCCTAAGCAGGCCCGCCCCTTGACCCTGCCTCCTCCTGCGCAAAGCGTATCAATCCGGACGCTGGACATTCCGCAAAATTCCTGCAGGGCCCCCCAGTGAAAAAAAAAGCCTTCCAAACAATCCAGACGGCACCGCGAGTGGGATGGCGAGAAATCGATCCGTTACACGTGTCCGCATTTGTACGTCCTATGCCAAGGAACGCCCTCAAACACGTTTAAGAGAGGGCAATCTTCGTCGCTGTGTTATTTTGAAGAAATAGTTTTTATCCCCCATTCCTCCAGCGCTCTGTGTCAGTCACTGTGCGCCTCTCTGCCTCACGCAAAGCACATTAGCGGGTGCTTTGTTTTAAGCATCTCAGTCGTCCCCTGGAAGCAGGGACCCCATGAAACACAAGAGGTCTCGTTTTTCTGTGATTCTGCAGGGGAGACTGAATATGGCCGCTGCATAGTTTTAGACCCGCCCTGCGAGAGTTATGGCGTCTCAGCGCCTCGGCGTGTCTAACAGCGACTGTCCGAGAGATCACTTGTTTTCTACTAGGCGCCTAGCAGGAAAGCCACAAACTGTCGTTCCTACGCAGGCTGTATATCATTCTTCTGGGGCTCGGTGTTTTAAACCCGCCTGTGCACTTTGAGTGCCTTGTTATGCATTTGAAACCTATTTCAGCCCAAATAAAGGGTGACATCCTCCCCCCACTAAGTCCTCCAGTGTCAAACAGCAAGCGTGGGCGTCTTACCTCCTGAAAAGCAAGTTTCCTCCACATCTTTCCTTCCCCAGGGCTGCTGGCGATTCCCCCTGGTAGAGAGACCCACCGATAGAGCAAAAATTGAGCAGGCAGGAAAAGCAGACCGGAGGTGGCCACTTCCTTGTGACAATGTCAGAGCAAAAGCGAGTAGGCGTTGCTTTTCCCACGCCACCCCTCCGGCCCCGCACGGCCAAGTTTCACTTCTCAGTTTTACGGAAGCAACAGCTGCAGCCTTGGGCCTGGCGTTTGTCACCTGTGCAAAAAAAAATAATTAAAAGCCCCTCCCCCGAGGATTCGCGTCTCAGGAGGTTCCCCTGCCAAAATCACCAGGTTGGCTTAGAAATCGGGAGCTGAACGGGAAACGCCAGGGGCTCTGTCTTTGCCTTTGGGACTTTGAGTCGTGTGGCCTGTTCCCTGCCCCGAGGGCCAGGAGCTTCAATATTTTATTTTCGATGGAACTTCCTTGAACCCGGGCGCCGTGGTCAAGAGGCAAAGAGCAGAGCAGGCCTGGGGTGTGAGGCCGTGAACGGGATCTTGGGGCAATGGGAGGGAGTCAGTGGGGCCCACGGGCAATGGGGAGGGGGCAGGGAGACAGCGGTGGTCAGGGGGGAAGGGGGGACCGGGGAGGCAGCAGGGGCCAGGGGTGGGGGTAGTGGGGGGCCAGGGCAGCAGCAGGGACCAGGGGCAATATGGGTATGGGGGGGGCTGGGGAATCAGCGGAGTTGGGGATTGGGGGGATGTGAAACTTAACAAGCAGCACACAGCTGTCACCAAGCCATGTCTCTCTCTCGCGCACACACACACACATCCCCACCGGGTGGGGCGGCCAAAAACCTGGGTTATCGGCTCATTCCCCAGCCACGCGCGTCTACAGCAGCGGCCCAGCCTTGGGGAGGGGGAGCCGTTATTCCTAGAAAGCGGCTAGGGGGTGGGAACTGGAGCCGTCCCCTCTCTCCTTCCATTGGACTGAGGCCAGCGAGTTGGAGCCAAAAAGATCAGACAAGAGGGGGTGACGGGAGGGAATTGGCCCAGGCTAGCGCTGCGGGCGGCGGCACCAGGCGGCTCCACTCCACGTCGGGCAGTGCAAGTTCTTGGTCTGAGCGCGGGAGCCATGAGCTCACTGCAGGCAGGCGGCATCAGCTGCCCTAGTCTCACTCCCTGGAACCAGTCGCTGGCGTCTGAGCAGAGATTCCTGGGTGCCGTTTGTGTCCACCCCTGTTCCAGGCCTGGGGCCAATAATAAAATAGCTTATGCTAGCAAACCAACTGGAGGCCATGGCTCCCGGTGCTCTGGCAATGGGAAATTGACATGCCAGGCCTCACATTGCTCCCATTTGGCTTAGCGGCAAACTCCCCACCCCATTCCTCCATGCTCAGCCCCACGGAAAAGGCAGCCGTGCCCCGCCTGACCCAGCCCCTTGCTGGCTAGTATGTGCCAGCACCTTGCAGCGCTCGGCTGCTCCAACAGGGACACATACACAGAGCAGGGGGCAGCAGGATTTACACACACAAACACACACACACACACACACAGCAGGGCCCAGCCCCTCCAGCAAGGGGCACCAAGGACACACACACACACACACACTGCACCCCATATTCTTCACAGTTATATTATTATGATAGGATTATGGCATAATTATGATGCATTTTGTACAAGACAGGTCATGCGAGGCGTCACTGGAAAGGTTATGGTTTACTGAATATGTTTGTATCTGGAGTTAGGAATATGGACGATGTGCCTGTACTTCAAATGGGCTTACTCTGGGTGACACCCACAAGCAGCCTTTCAGGTACAACAATGAAGCCAGACAGTGCTGATGGCCCATCAGCAAAGACAATGGACCCTGAAAGAACTTAACCTTCCTGTGGACCTTCCAGACAGCTTGTAAGTTATGGCTGCTGTGACGTTACGAGTGTAATATAATATTTTGTTGGAAGATGACAGGGCCAGAAAGAGTTCATTAACTCACAGACTGACCTGACCCATGGGTGAACCTTAAGGACTGGTTAGGAAGATATGTAAATGAATAGAGCTTTGAAATGCAAGTCTGCATTGTTAGAGGTAGAAGGGGAGATGTTTGCTCAGGTCTAGTGATGTAAGCAAACAAGTCTTGTCTATTGCTATAACTTTAATTCAAAGATCAAAAAGGGAATATTAACATTTATGAGGATACTTGAGTGAAATAGTATTATTGTCTCTATGGCCTGGTTTACACTATGACTTTAATTCGGATTTAGCAGCATTAAATCGAATTAACCCTGAACCCATCCACACAACAAAGCCATTTATTTTGAAATAAAGGGCTCTTTAAATAGATTTCTGTACTCCACCCCGACGAGCGGAGTAGCACCAAAATCGATATTGTCATTTCGAATTAGGGTTAGTGTGGCCGCAATTCAATGGTATTGGCCTCCGGGAGCTGTCCCACAGTGCACCATTGTGACCGCTCTGGACAGCAATCTTAACTCGGATGCACTGGCCAGGTAGACAGGAAAAGCCCCGCGAACATTTGAATTTCATTTCCTGTTTGCCCAGCGTGGAGAGCACAGGTGACCACTGATAGCTCAGCTCATCAGCAAAGGTAACCATGCAGGCCGATAATCGAAAAAGAGCACCAGCATGGACCGTACGGGAGGTACTGTATCTGATCGCTATATGGGGAGAGGATTCAGTGCTTGCAGAACTTGGTTCTAAAAGACAAAATGCCAAAACTTTTGAAAAAAATCTCCAAGGGCATGATGGAGAGAGGCCACAATAGGGACTCAGATCAGTGCTGCGTGAAAGTCAAGGAGCTCAGACAAGCCTATCAAAAAACAAAGGAGGCAAACGGTCGCTCTGGGTCAGAGCCGCGGACATGCTGCTTCTACACCGAGCTGCATGCAGTTCTAGGGGGGGCCGCCACCACTACCCCACCTGTGATCGTGGATTCCGGGTCGGGGATAAACTCATCAGCTACACCTGAGGATTCTGCGGACGGGGAAGAGGAGGAGGAGGAGGACGAGTTTGCAGAGAGCACCCAGCACTCTGTTCTCCCCAACAGCCAGGATCTTTTTCTCAGCCTGACTGAAGTACCCTCCCAACCCTCCCAAGCCAGTATCCAAGACCATGACCCCATGGAAGGGACCTCAGGTGAGTTTACCTTTTAAAATATAAAACTTGTTTTAAAAGCAAACGGTTTTTAATGATTACTTTGCCATGAGGACTTGGGATGCATTTGTGGCCAGTACAGCTACTGGAAAAGTCTGTTAACGTGTCTGGGGATGGAGCGGAAATCCTCCAGGGACATCTCCATGAAGCTCTCCTGGAGGTACTCCGAAAGCCTTGCCACAAGGTTTCTGGGCAGTGCAGCCTTATTCCGTCCTCCATGGTAGGCCACTTGACCGCGCCATGCTTGCGGCAAGTAATCTGGTATCATTGCATGACAAAGCCTGGCAGCCTATGGTCCCGGTGTTTGCTGGCATTCAAGCAACATCCGTTCTTTATCTCGCTGTGTGATCCTCAGGAGAGTGATATCGCTCATGGTAACCTGGTTGAAATACAGGAATTTAATTAAGGGGACAGAGGTGACCGTTCCTACTGGGCTGTTTGCCTTTGGCTGAAAAGAAATACTTCCCTGCAGTTAGCCAAGCGTGTGGGGGGGGAATTGGCCCTGAGCTTTTCGCGTTTGGCTAGCAGGGATCTTCCCTGTTACCAGCCATGCGGTGGGGGGAGGGATAAAGCGATCATCCCAGAGAATTGGATGGGAGGGGGTTAGTTTGTTTTCTGCTGCTGAAGGTTAACAGGAAAACCGCAGCAGTCAACAGGCTTTGCTTGGTATGTGGGAAAGGAGGGCGCAGAAGCCGAAAGACAATGGCTTACCATGGCCGCATGCAAGCTGAATTCTGTTGCCCAGACCTGTGTCTGTAATCTCTAACACCAAAGCCGCAGGCACTCAATATGAAGATGGAAAATGCGACCTTGTACTGAAATCACATGTGCTATGTAATGTGAATAGTGTTGTTCACCATGAAAGAGTCTAAGCATTGTTCTGTAAAATGTATCTTTTTAAAAGCTTCTCTCCTTTTTTTCAAACCCTCCCTCCAGCAGCTGTAAATTTTTCAAGCCTCCCTCCTCCGTCCCAAAGGCTATTTCAGATAAGGCGGCGGAGAAAGAGGACGCGAGATGAGATGTTCACGGAAATAATGGAATGCGCCCACAATGAAAGAGCTCATTTGAATGAGTGGAAGGACACAGTATCTAAATTTAGGAAAGATGCCAGGAACGTGAGGTCATGAGGGACGCTCGAGATGAGAGGTGGCAGACTGCAACGCTGGGGCTGCTGCGTGATCAAACGGACATGCTCCGGCGTCTGGTGGAGCTTCAGGAACGGCAGCAGGATAACAGACTGCCGCTGCAGCCGCTGTATAACCTCCATCCCCCCCTCACCATGTTCCATATCCTCCTCACCCAGACGTGTAAGAACGCGGGGGGAGGAGGGGGGGAGGCTCCATGCACCCTCCCACTCCACCCCACTGGTGTTGCAAGCTTCCACAGGGCTTTCGCCACTCGCTTCTCAACTGTGAGGGCTGCTCTCCTCTTGGTATTCTGGCGCTTCAGGGCAGGGGAAAGCAAGTCACAAAGTTCCAAGAAAGTGCCCTTACCCATGTGAAAGTTTCGCAGCTACTGGGAATCATCCCAGACTTGCAACACTATGTGGCCCCACCAGTCTGTGCTTGTTTCCCGGGCCCAGAATCGGCGTTCCATGGCTATAACCTGCCCCATTAACAGCATGATCTCCAAAGTACCGGGTCCCGCAGTTTGATAGCATTCCATGTCCATATCCTCATCACTCTCGCTGCCGAAGCCTACTCCTTGCCACCTGGTTTTGCAGGTTCTGGTTCAGCATAAACTGCACGATAACGCGCGAGGTGTTTACAATGTTCATGACTGCTGTCTTGAGCTGAGCGGGCTGCATGCTTGCCATGGTATGGTGTCTGC